CTTTGTTGACCTTTAACTATTGAATATATAACTTAACAACTATAAAAAGTGGAAAATCCAACAGCTGTGAGGTATTCAAACTTATGTGTGCCCTAGAGGGTAAGTTTTTCAGCAGAATATTTGTGCTGTTTGGTGGCATTTACAACACAGAAAGCTCTGGGACTTTGATGAAAAGCAGATCGGACTCCTCAATGAATCCCTATAACTTTTTCTGTTTTCCTGTAGGTGACCAGTACTGGGCTGTCAGTGGCTACAGTATAGAGTCAGGCTTCCCCAAGCCCATTCAGAACCTGGGCTTCCCCGCCAGTGTCAGGAAAGTTGATGCAGCTGTTCATGATCAAAATACCAAGAAAACCAATTTCTTCGTAGGCAACAAGTACTGGAGGTAAGGATCTTTCCTCTTCTGTACAGCAGATAACCAAAATAGCTTTTAAAATCAAGTTACATTAATATCCTCTTGTCAGTCTTCTCAGACTGTAAAAGCTGAAACTCAGAGGCAATTACTCCGTTTTTTTCACTCAGGTCTTTTCATAGAACAAAGTCTGTAGCAACTGAGGTAAAGACAACTTTCATTTACCCTTACCAGCCTGTTATTGACAAGCGAATGAGCTTTGTTTATTAGTTAGGAAGCACTATGAACTTAGTATAAAAAATATGAGTAGACTTTGTTGTCATATCATGTATTCATTCAGTAACTATTAAAGGGCAGAAGTGCTCTATGAAATCTATAAATGACAAATCAATTAAGAAAGCTACAGAAGGACATTAAAATATGTACTTCTTAAGAAATTTCTTCATTCAACTAAGCAGTAATCTTAGCTTTAATAATTAATCTGCAATATTATCTTAAAAGAGTATTATTATACCATAAGTTTACATTCCTCTTATGGGGTCACTCCATAGATTGTGTGCTGTCAAATTAAATTAAGTTCGAATAATTATTTAAGTTTGTTGCTCAGTATAAGCCTTATTGTCAGTCTCTGGGAGTGAAAGTGAACCCTTTAGTCTGATATTCTGAAAACAGGCCAGTAAAGATGTAAATATTCACATAGACAGGATTCACATAAACTGTTCTATGAGATCACAGATGCTTGCAGTTACTGGATTTTCAGCTGAGAGTAGGCATATTTTGTAAAAATTCCATCTGGTTTCAACATTGAACATGCCATGCTTATTTTCGGTTTTCATGCAATTTCTTTATTTAGTTTCAATGAAAATACTCAATCAATGGAAAGGGGATATCCAAGAAAAATAGCAGCTGACTTCCAAGGGATTGGCCACACAGTTGATGCTGCCTTTCAGAAAAATGGTAAGTAAATTAAAATGTAATTAAAAAGAAGTAACCCAGAAGACCACCAACCAATGCCAAAAATATGTATCTCTCTAATATATATATTAAATGTTTGTTTTGATTTTTTAATCACTCAAGAAAATATTAAGTGTATAACAGTAGGTATACAAAATTGAAATATTAATTTTCCAATATTCTATCCTTCCATTTCTAGGATATTTCTACTTTTTCCATGGATCAAACCAGTATGAGGTTGACATCAAGAAAAAGAAACTCATCCGTACAATGAAGAGCAACAGTTGGTTTAATTGCAAGAAATATTAAGTGATGGTGCAGGGGTGTATTTCTACCAGAAATGCTTTCACATGTTCCTTGGTTCTAAACAGTATTATTCAGCTGTTACTGTGCATCTGAGTCTGAAATGATGGCCTTTGACAAACTTAATTTAAAACCGTAAAATGTAAAACCTAATGTACAGTTTTAATTTATTGTGTTCTCCAACTATTTATTAATCAAGTTGTTTTTGAGTAATAAAGTGTTTTGCTCAAGTATAGCAGTGTTCTTTGTGTTCTGGTTCAGTCCACTGGAGACAAGGCATCTGCTATAACCGTATGCAAGCCTGAACAGCATCATGACCATTTTTAGTAGGGCTCAGTGTCTGTGGAGGGAAAGTTAAAGTGAAGAAGAAGTAGGAGGGCAGTTCTGGCAGACAATAAGAAATTACTTAGTGGACAGAGCAGGGAAACAAAGACACTCAGGAACAATGTGGGAGAGGCATAAAAGATAAGAGGAGATCCTACACAACAGTGTGTGAAGGGAGAGACTGGAGCCTGGGACTCACCTGCAATGACCCCATGGCAAAGTAACAGAGCGGTCAGAGCAGGGATGGAGACAGGTGCCTGCTAGTAGATGGGAGCATGGCAGTGAGCTGAAAGGACCAGTGCCCCAGTGCTGCTGTGGGTCGATTTGGTGAGCGGAGTCATTCGTATAGCAGAACATGAACCAAGAGAGAGAAGGGTAGGTGTCCAGTTTGGGGATGGAGGTAGCATGCAGCCAGGTTGGGAACTGATCACAGGGTCACAGGGAGTCAGTGGATTAGCCCTGCTGTGCTGTGGTCATGTGGCTTGGGAATGGAGTCAGGGCTGGCAGTCCACCTTGCAATGCTGAATAATAAACCACTAACAAGAACTACTTCCCGGAGCAAACAAGCCGAAATTATAAGAAAATCCCAGAATTTTTATGTAACTACCACAGATGAATCCTCCAGAGGATGAGTGGTGAGACACAGAGAAAAGCACATCTGCTTCCTCTGTGCACCTTGTTTGGGTCCCTCTCACAGGTCAATATCTCAGTGACCTTAAACACCCCTTGGGGTATAAGAAAGCTTGGCTGAAGTCCATCCTATCTTTGAAGGGATTTAGTTTCATTTCTCACAACACTGGTGATGTTGACTTGCTATTCCTCTTTCTCTAGAAGCATCGGCAAAGGTAGAAAGAGAGGATGGGAATGGTTGATAAGGACAGTATTCCAGTTAACACAGCTCAAACCCCATTAGGCAGAGTTGAGATTTGCTCCTGGTTTTCTGCACAGCATAGATCCCTGAGAGATCTGGTCAAAACACATAATAACACCTGTTGCACCATCCATCCGGGCCAGAGGAAGCCATGTGTCTCCCAGTGTACCCACAGACCCACTGTCCCACTGTGCTAGCAGACAAGACCAAAGAAGGGCAGCAGAGATGCCTTTGAATGGGGCTTTGAGAAACCTGTCCTAGTGGAAGAAGTCCCAGCCAAACACAGAGGGTTTGGAACTAGATGATCTTTAAAGTTCTTTACAACACAAATTATTCTATGATTCTATAATCTTGGAATATCTCTTCTTTGCCATGTTCTCCTCCTCATGCATGCTAGATTCACTCTGAGCACCTCTAAAAGCGAGGTATAAAATGAATATAGGTTAGAAGTGGCTTAATAGTCAAGTAGGGACTGAACAGCTCAGCGTTGCCACAAGGGCAGTGGTGCATCACTGTGAAGTCATGGACTGACAAGTGAGTGAGTTTACCTGGCAGCAGTCCAGGCAGGGCAGAGACATAGGAAAACTGTGTTGCCCCAACATCTCCCAGTGTCTTTCTCAATAGCTTGTGCTGTGTACACAGCATATCCTGAAGAAACTTCAGTTCAAGGACTTTAGATGACACCAGGGTTAGGCAGGGTGCTTGTGAGTACTGTTTGTACATAAATAATGGGATTAATACCCTTTGTTTTTAAAAATGCCTACATGCTTTGATACCCTAAATAGATGCCTTCTTATATGTGAAGGCTACCTTCATAAATCAGGTCTTTAGGATCTGATTGTTGACTGAGACTAGAAAGTGGTTAAGGAAGAACAAAAAAGAGCATTTCAGCAACAGTGAAGCAGAATACCATTGATGTTTACAATGACTCACATTATATTAACATATTTTTGTTATATATGGTTGGTACAGTTTTTTTAGTTATGACCCCAAGTAAACAGCAAAATTAAAATACTCTCTCGACCTCTGGGTATTAATTAGCTTAAACTCCCAGTACCTGAAAAATGAGTGATATTTACTTGGATGTGAAGGAAAATGTAGAAAGTGTAGCCTGGAGGATAAATGGAAGACAATATGGCATGGATTTCACCAGGACAAGGGGACTGGTGACAAATGTTAACCATGGAATTTCCATCTGTATTTCTGTTTTCTTAATGTCTTAAACTTTGAAATGAAAGAACGTTACTTTTTGTTTGGGAAAAGCAATGAAATTCCTGGCAAATGAAAAACATAATTCAAATGAGATTGGAAACAGGAATGCTGCCTGGCTACATTTAGTGGGCAAGAGATTTCTTGTAACCATGATTTTCTTATAACTCATAAATGATTGCTGGAATTAAAGGCCTCTTGGGTACCAGAAGGGGAAATTTGTCCATAAATGTAATTTCAAGTACTTATCCTATGTGAATATGAACTTTCCCTGAAGTCTGAGGCCAGGCACACCAAAAAAAAAAGAGGCACACCAAATAACATGTTACGTCTGAAATTATTGACAGCACAACTGTTGTCCCAGACCCAATCTCTTGCACATGAAATCTCAGGCAAAAATGCCTGAATGACTTCACCAACAAAGAGCAATGGTGACCTGTGTACAAGCTGACTGGAACTAGGGGGCCCCTTCAGTGAATCAGCGTTACCATGCTGAAGATAGTTATATAAAAGCCAGAAGTAGCTCACACACTCATATTCCTGAGGCTAGGTTTGTGCTGCCAGGCCTGAGAGTTTGCAGCATCGCCAGGAATGAGGTGCCAAAGGCACTGAGTTAAGTAATGCTCATGGCAGCACAGATTTGCAGTTCAGAAGCTTCCTGTGCACAGAACTGCTCTCCCAGTTTTAAACTGGGGATTACCAGAGTCTAGCCTGGCCAAGACACTGAGGGTACATAAGGCAGCAGAGTGGGGCAGTTTCAAGCTCTACACAGTTAAGCTTTTGACTTTGCAGAACAATTCAACTTAATTATGTCCTATTGAGGCTCTATGAGTTGTTCTTTTGCTTTTCTCTATAATACAGTATGCATTAGTTCTAAAATATATAAACTGTGCACTAGAAATAACCTTGCCAAAAAATGAGCAACTTCTAACACTTCTTGCCAGTGTTACATGTCTTTCTTGGGTACAGCTAAGAGAGGCTGCGGCTATGGGAATACATCCAAGGCAAAAGATTGACTCCAGGAGAGGGGGAGAAAAGGGCAATCTTAGAAGCTCACCCAGGCACTTTTACAGGTTGAAAAGAGGAGAACATAACAATGACTTCTTTAACCCGAGCCAATAGATTGGCATTATATATTGTACTAGTTATTAATAAAGCCACCTCAAAGGACAACATCAAAGATCTCTGTGGTTATATAGTTTTCTTCATAAAGCATATTCTAGGTTATTGGTCTCTTGAGGGCAATGGTGAATAGTATCAAGCAAAATGAGAAAGAGGTTGACAGAGTAGCAAAAGCACGTGTTTGAGAAGGCTGATAATCAGAAAACCATATACATTTCATCAACAGCTTCCCATATGATTTTGATGGCTTCTAAAGGCCCTCTCATTAGTGAAAAAGATAAGTGAGGAAAATTTATCAAGTACTGCCAGCTGAAAAGCTTCTTCTTTCTTCTAGTATACATGGAGATAATATGGGAAGAGAAAAAATGTTGGAAGTCTATAGCGGGGCTGTAAATCCCAGAAGCTATTTCTGCAAAGAGGCATTGTGGGTGTGTAAGCTGCACAGGAGAACTTTACATCCAATATTTAGATTCCTCTCACCCACTCAGAGACACTTCACATAACTATGTGAGGGGAGTCATCAAACCTCCCTCAGGGGATCGCTTCCCCTCGGCTCAGCTGCCCCATTTTTGGGTCCTTTCCTGAGCCTGTCCACCTCCTTCCAGGGCTAGGGAGAGGGTCTCTGCCCTAAGGGGAATACTTCAGTTAGGTATCTGCTCTTAGGGTACGAGTTCAGTCCCCAGTGACCAGATAACCCCTGCAGAATCCCACCGGCCTTGCCAGGGACTGCTCTTGTTTCAGCTGCCCAGACCTACAGTCCCTGATGTCCCACCTGTGGACAGCCACAGGCACCCTGTACTCTGGGGATCCTTCTGGTACCAACACAGTACTCTTCAGTAGGAAATAATTTTAGCAAATACCTCAAATAACCTCTCCTTTCACAGCTCTGTGAAAGGGGGTTTATCTTTCTGCACATGCAACGTCCCACCTTCCCTGCAGTGCTGTGGGGGTACCCTAAATCCTGTGTCAGCCCTACAAAGAAGTATCAGATACATAGGACTGTCTTCAATGGCAGTAAGCATCTCTTTTCAGGATTCCCAGGGACTTCACCATCACCACTGCTTTGTCCTCATTTGCGGCAGTTCATGGAGGGTGTGACTTGACTGGATGTGGAAAAGTGGACCCAATGCTAGAGTGGACCTGTTGTTGAGAATCAGCAGTTCTCACCACCAATGACAGACATGGAGAACAGAGGAACTTCTCCTCTGACTAGGACATCAGACAGTTTGATTCAGAAAACTTCAGTGCTTTATTATCGATGATGAAAGAATGGGACTGCAAACACACATGATTCCATTTTGGGATTCTCCACAGATCTCTCTCTGTGCTCCCCTTTTATTAACCTCCTCGGGTAAGCAGCACCTGGTGCTGACATTCAGTTAACTAGAATTCCCAGGATTTTGCTGACCTGATGTTTTAATTTCACACATTCACACATTACCATTCTGTGATTGTTTTCAATCACAGTATAAACCATGCGTGCATTAAGCAATTTTCCACTTTGAGACCACAGTGCTCAGTCAAGGTCGACCCTCTTTTTTGGTTCTAGTTAACTGAATGCAGGTGCTCAGCTTGTTCCCACACTTTATAAAACCTTATAGTAAGTATAAAAGGAGACTGTGAAATAAAAAGTAATTGTGCAATTCTCAGAGAACAGTGGAAAAACTGCTGAATAAAAGTAGCACAAAAACATCTTGGTTCAATTTTTATACTTTTTACATATGCCGGGAGAATTTTTTTTCATTTCTTTCTGTAAATTCCACATTTTCCTCCAGACAAAAGGAAGTTTCATCCATGTGAGAACTGTATTAAAGAAAAACTGCATAAACAAAACACTGCTTCATCAAGCAGGGAGTTATAGCACTGCCAGAACTATATCAAAGGGAAAGATGGTGGCAGTATAATAGCCTCCAAAAGTACATACTCCTGTACAAACAACTGCAGACAAAACAAAACAAAACAAAACAAAAACAAACAAACAACCAACCAAACAAACAAAAACAAACAAAAAACCCAAACAAAAACCACAGCCCCACCCCCAAATAATCAAAAAACCAGCCAATCACCACCACCACCAAACACCTAGAAGACAAATTTTCTGCCTGTTCTATAACCTTCTGTGAATGTTTTTCCCTTTAGGTACTTCAACAACCCTTTTGAAATCAATACTAACTTTGAATGGGAAACATTAAAGAGATATGCTTTAGGTTTTGGTGAGTAAGACTAGATTGTAAAAACTAAAATATTAATAAGTTTATTAAAATGAACTACAGGTCTATTATCTTCTCATTAATCATATTTCCATGTTACAAAAGCTGCACAAGGGTGGAACTGGATGAAAGACAGTACCAGTCTGTTTTATGATAAAACCCTTGTTTTGCGTGTTCTGTTGCTAACTAGAAATTGTGAGCATCAATGAGTCAGGGAAAGCTTTATACAGCAAAAAAGTACTACATAAAGGTGAAGCTGGTGTGTGGCAGACAACAAAAAAGACTTCTCTAAAGGTTAGGGGAACTGAGAAAGGAGAACCTCCCATTTTTCTTGTTATTATGTGTGGCACTTTCTTGTGCTTTTCCTGCAGATACAAGACAGAAGAAGGAAGAAGACATGCAAGTTATTGAGGTGAGGAAGGCAGACCTTTGGGAAGATCTTTAGCAACTGTTGAGCATCCCTTGCAGTCTCTGTAACTAGTAAACACTGGCTGAGGAGCTTGCAGAATAAATGACATAATGGAATAGTTCTCAAAATGGTGGGTGGTGGGGAAAATGAAGGGTGGTGTAATCATGATGACAAAGGCTTCTTTAGTCCCAACTCATCTTGCTTTATCCTTTTTAGAGAACAATTAAACCCAGTGATGTATTCACTTGCTTGTTGATTCTACAAACAATTAAATTCCTCAGTCAGTCTAGGTTTGTTTTGCAGTTCCGGTGGAAACACGGTTATTTATGTGACTTGTGGTACTATGAAACATAGGTCTTCATAAAATAAGTTGGGGTTTTTAATGAATTATTGCTGTCAAAAATGTGGGGAAATGGGATAATACTGATGAAATTTTATATTCAGTCATATATTCCAAACTGCCTCTTATAAAGGACTCTGGGTAACCCCAGGGCACAGGGTAAGTGGAGGGCATCTTATCAGAAAATGCTAGACAAATACTAATTTTAAATGTATTTTAAGTTAACTGCAAAAGTGATAATATAATGTAAAAAACTATCATTAAGAGAAAAAAATATTCATACAGGCTTTAACAAACTCAATTGTTAAAGCCATAGAACAGAAAGAAAAGTGGTAGAGACACATGACTAAATGATGTTAGCATAATACCTTGTGAGCTTCAAAAGCAAACACCATTGACTGTCTTAAATTATCTATTTTTTTCATTAGAAGTATCTGGAAAATTACTATGGCTTTAAGAAAGATGGGGAATCTTTTGTTTGGAAAAATAACAGCCCAGTGACCCAAATCTGAAAGAAATGAAGGAATTCTTTGGGCTGGAGGTGACTGGAATACCAGATTCTGGCACTTTGGGCTTGGTACAGAAACGTCGCTGTGGATTCCCTGACATAGCTGGGTTCTCCACCTTTGCAGGAGAGCCAAAATGGACGAAGCAAGTTCTGACATACAGGTAATTACAGTGGAATTCTTCATGTCAAGATGGCATACTCCACAGCGCAAGTGGCAAAAACACAGTTGGTTTTCTATCTTATATTTTGAAGGATATTAAACTACACACCAGACCTGCGTCCAGCAGATGTCAATGCAGCAATCAAGAAAGCATTAAGTGTCTGGAGCTGTGTGACTCCACTGAAATTCATCAAGAAGGATAGAGGTGATGCAGACATAATGATCTCCTTTGCAGCCAGAGATAAAACTCCAAGCAACCATTATGAGTTACTGTCAGTTTACTGCCTGTCTGGAGCAGTTGACTTGGAATGCTAATGATTTCTTCCCATGAATAGCATATGTGAAGTTCAGAGTCAGGTTGAACAAGCAGACAAAAAACACAGTTCTTGCTCAAGGTGCTATGGCTATAATTCTTGACAGTCTCTGGGAGAGGGTATAGAGGCAGATGAGGAGAAGGAGAGGGAAAAATGTAAGGAGCTGCTTGTAGTTCACTGGATCTATACCTACCGTACTCTGAACACCCCATCAGCTCTGTATGGAATTTGCTCCTCAGATCACAATAACTTCATCCCCTTTGATGGCCCAGGATGGTCCCTTGCTCATGCCTATGCACCCAGCAAGGACATTGGTGGAGATGCTCACTTCGATGAGGATGAAACCTGGACCAAACGCATACAGGGTAAGCCCTTCTTGAAGCAAGTTCCATATGAAATCAAGGATGCAGTGTCTGTCTCTTCTCTTCCTTACGAAGTGCTTAAATTGCTACTGATTTGGGGGAGCACTGTTCTGTGATTTCCATAGCTATAAAAAGCCACTGAACCCTCTGGTTAAGGGCTGCATTGGATGGAGAATTATTTGGGAGGGGGCCCCCTTCTCTCCATTCCTGCAACCTGCTTGCTTCTTGCCAACAGTTATATCACTTGCACTGGCCCAGGGTCCTTCTCCCACACTGACTTCTACAGGATCTACAGGCTATTTCTTTGTACTCTGCTATAATGATTTCATTATTTTTCTTTCTAACTAGAATTTCATCTCTAACTGAATTTCCCACGAGAGCTTCACTTGCTTAGGCAAGCAGTTCTGAAAGCTTCTGAACTGCCTTATGGCCTTCAATGTTATTCAGAAGAAATGAAAACACACAGCTCTCATATGTTTTGTTTGTTTTTTTCAGGTACGAACCTGTTTTATGTTGCTGCCCATGAGTTTGGCCATTCACTGGGATTCTTCCATTCCAAAGACCCCAATGCTTTGATGTATCCAGTTTACAGGAAATTTGACCCTTCAGTACTCCCTCTTCATCAGGATGATATTACTGGCATTCAGTACCTCTATGGTAACTCACAGTTATTGACTAACTAGCAATTATAATTTCAAAAACTTTGGAATACCTTACAGTGACATTTTTGTGTACTGGGTATACCTCAATGAGTTCTCTCTATAATTTCTTCCATAAACTGCTTCTTTTAGGACCATCTTCTAACACATACAATGATCAAAGGGAATCTACTGAGATAAAAGACACAATTGAGCCAAAAGATCCTGCACTGCCAAACACCTGTGGCCTCAATTTAACTTTTGATGCTGTCTCCACTTTCCGTGGAGAAATAATGTTTTTTAAAGACAAGTAAGTCAGCTTCTAGTAGTAAAATAGCTGGGTATCATTTTTTAAATTATGCCCCACAGCATGGGATAATAACTTCAGCCATTCTAGACAGGAAGGTAAGACAGGGAATCAGGAGAAGAGATGGAAAACAAAGAGGCTGATGGAAAAATGAAAAGAGAAAAGGATAAGGAGGAAGATGACCTGTGGAACAGGACATGTTGTGAAAAGAGTGGAGAAAGATGGCTCCTCTGCAAACAGACTGTTTTCACTTTAGGTTGTAAGCAGGTCCCAAGTGTTTGGCATCTGGGAGAGTTCAGCTTTGGCAAAACACAATTCCAGCTCTGGTACACTTGACACCTTCATTGCTGTCCTTGCTTTGAGAGAGCTGAGGGTTTACCAGTCTTGACACAATACCTGCTTGAAGAACTTCTGTAGTGGTGATTTTGTATAATAATAAAAGGAAAGGATAATAGATTCAGTGCTAAACTTAGACAAAGTGTCCCTTTCCAGGGCATGACATCCCAGGGTCTGAAGGAGAAGGGTAAAGGAGATGATTCCCCTTCTTTTCATGAGATATGGCTGTGCTTTCCCTGCTTCAGACCCTCCCTAAAAATTAACGTTGAAGCAAGTTCTGACCTCAGAGTTTGGAGTACACAAGGCCAGTAAAGTGTTATTTTGCAGAAGAGCCTCACACACACTGACTGTTTCTCTAAGCTGGTGCTGATAATCCCAGAGTGGGCTTCATTCCCAAAGTCTTACCCCATACCAGCCATGTGATTCCAGGTCTCTCTAAGCTCCATTTGAGGGAAAACAAATGTTTTGACCAAACAGTTCCTCTGTTTGTTTCCTCCTATTTTAGATGTCTGGATCAAGATGAGAGCAATCCCAACATGGAATTAACTTTCTTTACATTAAGATTAGGGGAGCTTAATGTGACTACTCAGGGTACGTGATTGGGTTTAGTTAGATAAATCCTGCCCTGATTGCCATGATGTGGTTTCATGCATTAGTGTGTGTGAACACCTAATTTTATTTAAAACCTGTTCTATATTTATGTAAGACATATTTGGTGCAAACATCCTGCAGTCAGAACAGCTGATTTTAATTTAATATCTTCGTTCTGGCCATGGCTGCCACCTGGTGTTGATGATGCATATGAAATTTCTGAAGAAGATGAAACCATCATTTTTAAAGGCAAAATGTTGTCTTTTTATTTTCCCATGTTGTCTTCCAATTAGCCTTGAGAGTTTGTCTGGCTTAAAAACTACTTAAGCTCTTTCTGTAGGATCCAACAAGCTTGAATTTAGTCTAAAAATCGGTGTGTTTCAATCACAGAGATAACCAAAATATTATCTAAGATAAAGAACATGTATCTTATTTTTTAATATCCATACAGAAAAGTTTCCCTGACAAAATAAATGTAATGACTTTTTTGGGGGGAGGAAATTATCTATTGAATTTAAAAATGATGCCACATGGTTCTTCCAGACTTGTGGGAAACCCATATAAATATGAAGGAAGACTGAAATTTCAGTTTTCACAAAAAGTGATGAGGAGACCTATTGCTTTTTTTTTGGACTCTGGAACTAATATGTAGAACGTTTTCAAGTAACCATTATTTTATCTCTGCATTTTTCCATTAGAAGATTAGCTTTCATGGAAGGGATTATGTCATTCCCAGAAGAAGATTCTGATAATATGTTGTCATCAACTTTTCTTCATAGGGAATGAATTCTGGGTTGTGAAAGGAGATACCATACTTCCTGGATGCCCCAAAAAACTCTACACCCTGGGCTTTTCAAAGGATCTTACCAAAATTGATGTTGCTTTTTATAATGAAAATGAGGGGAAAACATATTACTTCATGGTGGACAAATTTTGGAGGTAATATTTCCTGTGCTACTTTCCTAAACAGAAGCAAACATAATCACATGATCAATATCCTGCCATGATTTAGGATGCATTAGTCACACACTTTTGGTGATCTCTTTCAGTGTCACAACTGGCTATGAAAAAATATTTGAAACAGAGGTGAAACTGTGCTTTTAGCTTTCCTGTTAACTGATATAACTATTAAATATTTTATTTATTTATTTATTTTCATTTATCTGCCTTGGGAAAAAAAGCCATTCTACAGCTCCATAAGTCATCTCAGGAAATCAGTCAGAACCTCATCATTTATATAAAAATGTTTCTATGGAGTAAGAAGGAGAATCCCACCCTTTTCCAGTTACTAACAGATAGTTTCATAAAGTTGCTGATAAATGCTATGTACTGCAAAGAATTATCTGCTGTGCATGGTTATTGTTTTCTCTTTCCAATTCAGTCCCTACTGCTCAGGTTTTTCTTACAGGACATAGATTTCTAACAGCCAAAGGAGGTGCTCCTGTAATGAAAGCAGTAATTAACCTTAACTTTTGTAGATGAACAACAAAACTTCTCTTCTGCCTGTTATCACAATGCCCAAGTCATTGTGCACACAGAGATCACCCTGAAGTAACTATTCAGACACATATTTGCAGTTTAAGAAGAAAATCAGACTTCTACATTTTAAGTAAAATTCTGGTAGCTTGAATGATTTCAGATGAGACGTTTGATCATTAAATCTCTTGCTGAGCAAAGTTATCAGAAGAGGAAGGCTTTCAGAAGCCTTCTTATTCCAGCATTTATAGATAAAATGGACTTTACTAAAAATGTAATAGCTTGCTGTACTTACGTAAAATGACATAAAATAACTTATAACTTCAGAAAAAAAACATATAAACCAGATAAACATTTCTTACAGAGTCATGACATGAAAGCAATCTTTTTATAATATATTATCTCCTTTAGGCATGGTCTCCTAGGAAAAAATATTAAGTATTAAGTATTAAGCAGATTTACGACGATGGTTCCAATATCAAGTATTCTTAGATGTATCTTGAGGTGCAGTAAAAAGAAGCAATTCTTCCAGTGCAGCTACTAGAGTAATAATTATTTATGGCAAATTGTGTCCCTCTCTATGCTACCTAAATGATACTGAAAATCTTTAATGAACGCAGTTACCTGTTAATAGGTAGAAGGTAATGAGGTGAGATTATTTAGTCATGAGTTGTTTGCAGTTTTCATTGACCCCAGGTTGTTTATCATTTTTCTCAGTTATGATAAAAGAAGTCACTCTATGGATAGAAAGTCATTAGTCATAAGAGATGCCTTTCCAGCAATTAATGGGAAGATTGATGCTGTTTTTCAACATGAAAGTGAGTAACTGTTCTTAATAAAATCTGTATGAAATGCTCAATCATAGCGCTGAGAGAGCCTGGGCAGAGAAAGACACTTCTAAATGATGCTCAGAGCCCTCAAGATGACCAGTAAAACCCTGAAACAGTCACATAACGCTCCCATACTTCGCTTTGCCCCTTTGAAAAATAGTGATGGTATGCCTTTGATGGCAACTTCAGATCTGGGAAGGCTGTCTCTAAGGGACAGATAAATCTGTATTTATGTTGACGTGCACATCACATTATGAAGAGCACTACCCAAGACAGTGATGTCTCAATAACATAAGGTTTACCTGCTGTGAGCAAGGCTATCACAGCCTGGCCCTCTGCCATAAAATGGGACTGCTTTGAGTCCCAATTGGCACTAACTTCTCCTGCATGAAGGTGAATACTGCTTAGACAGGGAGATGCTGGTCTAGACTCAAGGATACACCCACACTGCCAAATGTCACAGCTTCCCAGTTATCTCCTTGCTCCTTATATATTTCTTATCAAAACCCATGCAGGCTAATTGTTTCATAGCAAATCATGCAATTTCCTCCAAAACAAATCTCACATCTGGTGCTGGGGGGTCCTTAGCTATAGACCTCACTCCCAGAGGGCAGTGTAGATGTGACTGCCCCAGGCTGGATATCTCCTTCCCTGCATAGTATCTGGCACACAGGTGGCTAGAAATGCACTCTTCTGGGTGGTTTCAACACAGCTGATGTGTACCACCAGATATTTTAAACTAAAGAAACACTCAAGATACATTTTTTGTATTGTCATCTTGGGGGATTCAGCACATTATGCAGTGTGTGCATGGCCGGTTTGCCATGGAAGGTGTTCCCATGCTGCTGTACAATTGTTTGCAGAGGTTACACCTGGGAGTAGATGCTCTTGGCAGCATAATTGTATGCAAAGGTTACTTGAGCTCTTTCTGGATGTTGTTAAATCATACTAATCTTTACATCTACAGTATCATAATTCACCTGGTTTGATTGTTGTCTGTTTTTTTTATAGACTTCCTTTATTTCTTCTGTGGAAGAAAGCTATTTGAATTCGACATTGATAAGAAGAGTTACACGCTTCCTAAAGACAGACTTCTGGTTTCCATATTAAGGAAATGAAATCTGTAATGGTGTTGGAAAGAATGTAGTGTTATTGCTCCAGAAACACTTTTTCTTTGATAAATATGTGGAATGCACAGGTACTTTAGCGTTAGTCAGTAGACCTCAGATCCTGCATGATCTGTGTTTCTGTAAATAACAGAACAGTATTTAACATACTGATGAGTATACATGTATGTAGATAACATCAGACTGACTAGCTTACCAAACAACAATGCAGTTTTTACTCTTGATACAAAATTTTGGCTTATTATATCCACCATCATCTTTTCACTTGTCATGCTGTACATCACTCTACACAGAGCCCCACCATGGTTCCAGGAGTCCATGAGGAAGAGCATTTCTGTTCCTAAAGCTAGGATTACTTTCAACCAGTTTTAGATATTTCAAAGTTAAACAAGCAGACTAATCAAAGCTACTGGTAATTGTTGCAGTCCGAAATGTGGATACCAACAGAAAAGGAACTGCTAGGATTAAACAGGAAACCTAGGGCCACAGGGGCTGGGAAAAAACCACTATCTAAAAGACCAGACAAGATCCATTGACATTCATTTCATGTGGATTGTCCTGATCTCCCCCAGAAGGATGCAGAAAGACTTTGCATGATGCTATCAGTTATCTCATTGCTTTCTCCCTCCTTGTGTAAATCCTTAATTCGGGACAAGCTGACCACCATTCCCAGTATAATCTTGCTTACTGGAAATATCAAATCCTTTTCCCCCAAATTGTAAATACTGGATGTGAGAAATGTAAATCCATTGTAAATCACTTATGTCACCCCTCTTACTGGAAATGTTAATAGATTGTGGAATCCCCTGTTTGGAATAACCCTGCCTCCTCATTAGCATGGAAGCCCCCCAGACCCTTAAATAGCGTTTACATGTTCAATCAATCATTCCAGCTTTTTGCCTCTATATCTGGGATTGTGGTAACTTTATTAGACCCTTACAGCTCATAATTACAGTGAGACATACGGGAGCTCCAGAGAGCAATCCCTCCCAGCCTGAGGTGCATGTTTAGAGGCGGAAGTGTTCCTTTTTTTTACTGACTGGAGAGGCAGGGTTGGACACCTGATTATAGAAGGCTAAATTTAAGTGTGATGAATTCTACTCTAAGGTATTTATTGGTATATGTGATTTGCCGTGCAATGTGTTGGAAAACCATGTTTGAGCAGGAAGGTTGGTCCAGATGACCCTACTGTGGTCCCTTACCCATTCTGTGATTCTGTGATCAAAGGGTCATCTCCACAGACGCAGGAGCAGAGGAACACACTGGCACGTAGGAAAGACCCAGTCACCCCTGACCTGTCTCTGCTCCTCTTCAGTTTTCCCTGGGGAGCCCCCATTGCCTGGGGGACACCCATCATCATGTGTCAATGGGAGAAGGTCCCTCTCACCTCACAGGTTGAGGGGTCACCGCCAGGGAGATAGGGATCAATATCTAGGGTAAGAGCATTTGGGGATTTTATAAAACTTATCATGTCATATTTGAAGGAGACTGTGGAAATGTTCAAAATTTATTGTGAGTTGATTAGGGGAAAGACCAAAGGCAGGGAAAAGGAAGTATCAAGGTAGATTGGGGAGGAATAGGTTTGGGAAAATAGAGGGATAAGTGGATGAAAATAATTGATTGCATGCAAAAAGGCTGCAGTCAGTGTGCTTCTTTGGCCCTCCCTGCACATATGGTCCTGTCTTCCTAGTAAATCTTATCCTATGTGTGCATGAGCTCTTTCTGTGCGTGCTTGGGTGAGCTTCAAGCCAGACTGGCTGCTGAGGAGGTTAAGAGATCTGAATATCAGCAGTTGGAGCATGGCTGCAAGCTACAAGGACACATAAATTACTGGGACACAGGAGGTGTGGAGGCAGCTACTCTACTGTGAGGACTGTGTGTCTAAGACCAGCTGCTGAGGGCCTTCACACTGTTTGTATTTTCATGTCGACATTTCACCAGTGGACAGAAGTCCTCATCAGCTGGAGGGGAGGAATAGGATGGGGCCACCTTTTCATATTTGTCCAAACACCCCATGTTTTTTGTCTATGATGGTCTCTCATGGCTCTCTTGACCTGGGAAACAGATATGAAGCAGCTGCCAGTTCAATGCTGCAGACAATAATCTCTCTGGTGCTGAAGTCAGACATCACTTGGTAGTGCTCTACAGGAGCCCACAAGTATTCAGATGGATAGCTAGCAAGATCTAAGGTCTTAGAGAAGGTACTCTTTCTTTTATGCACGTAAAAAGATCTTTCCCCCTCATTAGACAACTTCCCAAAAAAAAGGGGAAAAACTGAGAAAAAACAGTTCTATTTGATTCTTCTTCTCCATGAATCACAGCATCATCAACTGACTAAGGTTGGTTGGGCCTCTGAAGGTCATCTGGTTCAACCCCGCTGCTTAAGCAGGGCCACCTAGGGTGGGCTACTGAGGCTCTAGGTGGCTTTTGGAGATAATGTTTTTTCACACCTCATCAGGCAACCTGTGCCAGTGTTCTGTCACTCTCACAGTAAAAAAAAGTGTTTCCTAATGTTCAGAAGGAACCTCCTGTGTTTCAGTTTGTGCCCATTGCCTCTGGCCCTGTCAGGATAAGGCAATTGTGTTGTATTTAAACATACAATTGTACTGTATAAACGCTATGTGTTATTTCAATACACTTTATGGAACCTTTCTTTTGACACATTTTTAAAAACCCTGGTAGCAGGACTACTCAAATGGGGCACTCCATTGTGGATCTAGTCACTGAGAAATTTTTATATGAATTCTATCAAGGTCAAAAATGTATTGTGGCATTGTCAGCCTTGCCAGACAAATACTGCTGCCACACCTGCTGTAGAGGTGGCAAACAAGGCTTTACTGGCCAAGTAGAACTAGAGTCAAAATTATTAGTTTTAGTTGCAACACCTCCAGAAAAGGAAATGAGTGATCAGTGTATGATATTGCCAACATCAGGGAAGTAGATTCAAGTCTTGTAACTTGCATATTTCTATTGAATTTAGTAGGAAATGTTTCTGTGCTGTTTATTTCTTCCTTATTAGTCTCCTCATACTGTTCTGTTCTTGTTTTCCAGTTCCGTATTTCCTTCATATTTCTGGTATGGCTTTTTGAGTGGTCTCACAACTACAGGAGTTAATCAGTCCATGGTCTCAGCTATAACAGTGAAAGTCAAAAAGGTATATGAACAGTTTGGCTCACACTTTATAGATACTTTTTAGTTTGTTAAGGAAATTTCTAACTGTCCTGGATTTGAGTGGTTTTCTTCATTTGTTCCTACTGCTGATCCCCTTCTACTGTATCTGTGCCTTCCAAAGCACTGCCATTGTGGATAACTGCATGAGATCACATTATTTTAAATGGGATAATGTCTTCCAGCTCTGGTCTTTTAAACTTCCTTTTAGACATATTCTGTTTCAGATAAGATTATAGTTCTCAGAGAAAAGCTGGCTGGTCCTAGACCTTTCATGATTGTTTTGTAGTTTTGTGGCTGTCATATACTTATCCAACTAGTTCTTCCTTGGGTTACTCTGATGATTTCTCATTAGTCGGAAGTCTTTTCTTCCTTATTTCTGTGTGCACAGATGATCATATTAATTATTGAATATGAAGTCTTGGATCTGTGGCAGAAGTAGAGCTTAGCTGACTCTGATAGTGTCTGTCTTACTAAATAGTTCAGCTGGTTTAATAGTGGATGTTGGTATCTTTTTTTTGCTTCACAATTCTTATTTTAAAAATCTCTAGTACCACTAACAAGACACCCTTACTATTTGAGTGCAAACAGGCTTTTGAACTGAAGGTGATTGACCTATATTCAATATCCTGTACTCTTCTGAAATACAGTTTGAGACTTAGACTCTGAGTTATGTGTATTTTTTGTCTATGGTACACTCAGTTCAAGCATTTCAGATATGGTTTTCTCAGTCCTCTAAACACATCAGATTTTTCCATGCTGTAGAAATTTTCTAACCTATTTGTGTAGAAAGTTTGGTGAAGACTTAAAGTTTCTTCACAAGGAACAGTTTTATCATGTGACTCTAGAATTCAGATCACAAAAATTGTTTTCTTCAATGCTTTGTTTATAATGGTCTTGTTCTGGTTTTCCCAATCTTGTCTTTGAGGACATTTTGTTTACATCTGAATGGGGTTTTTTGGTTGGTTGGTTGGGTTTTTTTGGGGTTGGGGTTTTTTTTGTTTTCTTTTGCCAAGGACTCTATAGTGCATCCATCAGAAACAATCCAGAAGGTCCAACAAGGGAGTTCCAATACTATCTACCCTAGGAAAAAACTGTTTTGATTGGATGTTCTTTTTCTTATCATTTATTGATTTTCACACATTCATCCTGCCTGGAAGGGATCAATGGCATTTGATATTGTTCTTGGAAGGATTACATATGTATTTTCACAAAAGGTAGCTCTGCGGTACTGACCTGAACTGAAAAGCTGTTGTGTACTAATTTAAACACTCAGACTAAGAGCAGAAAGTTTACCACCTGAGTAAACCAGACAAAGGTAACTGATAGGTACTGGCAGAATAGAATAAGATTAAAATTAGTTTATTTAACTGCTGTTTCCAGGGACTTGTTCCTAGTGAGATGCTGCATTTGGTTTATGGAAATGGTGAGGGAAAAAACCCTTTCCTGGTGAAAGAAAGAGCAACTTTGTGGGTTCAGAAGTGCTTAAGGCAACTCAGAACTAGAAAGATGCATCTCGCAGGTGCCACTGAGATTCCAGAGAAAATAGTTAAAAGCTGCCAAGGAGCAGATTTTGTTTCCAAAGTCTTTATTCCCTGGCAGCATCTGAACTGGCAGCCTCTGAACTGTCGTCTGGGTGCTCTCCAATAGGCCTGTTCATGTTTGCTCCCTGCCAGCAAGACAACTGTCCTTGCAGGTTCGCAAGCAGTAGCTGTCTCATGGGATATTTTGCCATTGACACCATGCATCCAGCTGGGGGATTGTTAGCCTGTAGGAGTTCCAGTATGTCCCAAATAGTCCAGATGCGCAGGGAAT